GGCATTTCTCATCAAAGAGTGCCCTGTATACGCAGCACCAGAACAGAGTGTCAGAGCGATTAAATAGAACGCTCGTCACAATGACTAGGTGCATGCTTTTGTTCAAATTGGCGCTACTTGGCAATAAAGAGTCACATTAATATGGAACGTGGTAAGGTTCTATTATTTTTTTTTTTTGTTTTGCATCAGATTTTAATTGCGTATGCAGCTATCTAGCTATGACACAATATCGAAGAAAAGTACAGAAAAGATGACTCAATTTACAAGAGGAGCACTCATGCCTCAGATTTAATTTGCAAGTACCATGGCGAAGTTATGGTGGCTTTTTCTTCACCCCAAGTCAACCCTCATCCGTGAATACCCACCCAGGGGAACGTCTCAAAAACCCTGGATTATCCAGACATGCCTCCGTCATCCATCAAATTTTCTCCGCGCGAAATGTAATCTGAGATGTCTCCTTCCCAAGTGGAGTAGGTGCCCAGGCTACTCAGACTATACCAGAGAGCACCACCAGGAGGCAGGTTCTATTATTACTAGCCACATTCATAACGACTCATACATTGACCAGCCTCCCAATTATTTAGCATAAACAAGTGAATCGTATCCTTCACTTAGATGTAGTAATTAGTTTAAATAGCGCCCTGATACTAAGTGAGTTTAATTAACAACTCTCCACTATAGTTTTTAGACTCTTCAATCTCCCAACTCGCTTTACTAGGTGATATTAAATACAAGCCTAACAGCTTACGCTTCTCTACACAACTTCCATTCAACAGCTTTCTCATGCGCATCTCCCTCTTCAATTTTGGGATGCTGCAATTTTTTCGGCCTGTTATATCTTTAACCGTCTTCCTCATTCTCATAAAAAGGGTTCTCCTAACGAAATATTTCACGGTTTTTCTTCTGGCCTTTCCCACTTAATAGTCTGAGGCTGTCTCTGTCACTTTCTTATAGACAGTGAAGATCCCCAACGCTACAAGCTTTCTCCGACCTCTCTCAAGGGAATTTTTACCGGTTATTGTGATTTGCCAACTCAATACCGCGCTTACTTGCCCTCGAAGCAGGGCCGCAAAAAAATTGTTGTTTCGGCTAATGTCTGATTTGTGGATGTTATATTAACTAGGCTATATAGGAGCAGGACGATGGATACTCTTGGGGAAGTCATGCTCACAGTAGGTCTCTATAATCGCTGTCGCGTGTATTCCCGTGATATGTAAGACTTGACTCTATATTCTCGTATAAATGAAACTTAGATATATTGAATGGACGGATGTTGAGACCTCTTTATATATTGCTCCAGACTTACTGAGTTGTTCACAGTCTAGTGCTAGAACAATCCCTTGTGATATCACTTCTCTCCTACGAGAAATGACCAGCTCGTTCTCCTTCAGTCCATCAGTCTCTCGCTGATTCTGTTATCTCTATTCTATCGAGTTCTAGTTTGGTCCATAATACCCACACATGCATTACACATGCATTACACACTAAACACCCCACGGTTTAGTTCCACAGTCACGTGCATCTGCTATGACGTGACCTAAAGCATGTACCATGGTAAGTTGCATGGATAACACAACAGTGGAGGACAAATTCTGGGATTGGAATAGGTCTTCTCAAGAGCAATTTGGTGATTTAGAAATTGAGTCTGGAATTATTGACGGCTCAAATCACAATAAAGATGTTTTCTCAGACTCTGAGGGGCCTAACCCCAATCCAGGATACTCAAGGATGGACTCTTCTTACCACTCTCATCCTATTTCTTACTTTACAACTTCTTCTGCTGCCTCTCAGGAAAACATCTTAATCCCTGATGAAGGCACGAGCGCAGAAAATTCTTTCAGTACCCCTCCAGCTGTTTCGCTAAATTTAGCCACTTAAATTGAGCAAAATGTTCCAGATTATCATCCTTTCCCTCCTGTTGTAGGCCTTAGAGGGAGTAGTAGAATGACCAAACAAATTGAGATTGAGCCTAATTTGCAGCCGGAGCCTCGACTCCTCTATGTCGGTGGAGATGTTCCTATCCCCCGAAATTTCTCAGAGGCAGTTAATGGTCCCAATCATCTAGAATGGTAGACTGCAATCAAGGAAGAGCTCAAGTCACTAACTGAAAAGAAAGTGTTCACTCCTGTTACTCATGTTCCTCACGGGAGTGTAACGGCTGTTAAGCCTAGGGATTCCTGTAGCCTACGCTGGCTAGCGCAGGCAATGAATGCAAGAGAATCTTCGGGAAGGATCTCGGAATACGAGGAGCTTAGAAGATTCTGTTGTGCTGGTGATGGCTAGGATTACAATGCACAAGGGTAATGATCACTGAGGGTGAAGGAAGAACTTTCCAGGTGGCTCCATGATGAGTAGAGGAACAATGGAGCACTGTATAGAAGGTGTCTCTAGATTGTACTGCCAGATGGAGGAGACTAGAATATTCCGTGCTACTGTTTTGGGTAAATAAGGCGAGAGTCTGGCTACTTCAGATGTGTATATAATTAGTGCTTTCTACCTCCTAAATCCTCATAGTCCTGAATATCAAATATATCAGCAGTTCACATTGATTCATCGATAATCATCCGTAAACCTTCTGCCAATTAACCTCCGTAAGCTTTTACCTTTACAACATTAACGGCCTTGACTGCTATTTTTAGTATTAATTCTGGTCTCGTGCTTGGAAGCTCGGTAGATAAGATGTTAAATGCACGGTATAACAGCATATTATATCTTTCAATCTTGCCAATTGACCGGTGTGCTTCTACTGGCACTCGCTTACATGTCACACCCACTAAGTTTGCCTCTACCTTGAACTCTACAGAAGCAAATTATACACCTGCATCATGTGTGATAATATCTAGCGGCCCCTAATTTGTGTTGGTCCAGAGTACCTTAGGCGTTCCCATGTGTCTTTGGTTGACTTAGACAGGAGAAATCTCGCGCCTTGAAAAGATGTAGCTATCTAGAGGATATGGAGTATAGGCTTTCCGTTCAGGCTTTTCACATCAATAATGATCTCGTAGTTGAAATTTGCATCGTCCTTCAGAGGAATTTGAACCTATGAGGAGCACTGTTGTTCATCTAGCAATGATGGCAGAAGTTTTTGATCTTCTCGAGTACCTGGCAATTGGTCTCCTCCGCACGACCGGCTTTAGCTAGGATATGTTGTAGCCTTTCTAAAGCTGAGTGGCTGAATCAGCGGTGTAATTGACGTATTTCGGGCTCTGTCAGGAACAGTTTGCATTCTCAATCTTGTTTAGAAAAAACCATACATATCCCCGTTTTCTTATGACAGGCACCCTGTTGAGGCCTTTACTTGTTCTCTAAACAATCTCATCATCTGTATCGTCGAGATATAGTCTAAGGCCGTCCATATCACCAAGGGAAAAAAGGAATGGTGTTGGCGTTTCCAGCACACGGAATATGATCTTACCAACTGGTATGTCAAAGATCGTCGAGCCGATTGAGGAGATTGGTTCACCCTTTCCAAACTGAATTTTTGCTCGGCCTGCTGTACTTGTGTCGAACAAAACATTTGGATCCTCTTGTTGCAGAGTTAATAACTGCTCTCTATCCACGGTTGACATATTGGCAGCTCCAGTATCTGGTAAGATTCCTTGAAATGTTACTCTTTATAGTGATCTTCAATTAGAAACTGTGAAGGTAGATTATTATACCTTATCTTACACACATCCTAACCAGTCAGTTGGTGTATGAACGCTTAATTTGTCAGATAAGTTGCATTTTGAGCTCCTTGCATAAATGACTCAAAGTCCTCATCATTGTCAGCTTTGTGTCTTCCTAATTTTCAGAATTCCGGGTATCTCGAGGCAATTAGATCCTCAACCAATTAAATGTCTGATACAGTGGATTCTGAAGATAGAATATGGATAACATATATATTATTAAAGAATAACTAATCTAAATCAAATAGTCCTAAATTACAGCTCGATGTGGTCTGTGCAGTAGGTGACTGGATACATGAAAGGCACCTACTTTGGATCCACAGCTTCACTTTGATCACTTGTCATTAAGCCTTTTGTGGGATATTGGAAAGTGGGCTCCTGGCCCTCAAACTGTATCAGAAAACTTATCATGCCTTGCATAGTAAATGCGATATTGTCAACTTTGCATTGGATGATGAATTGCTTTCTCATCAGACACCGTTCATCTTCTGTGTGCTTGGTTGACCAGCATCCTTCTTTTTTACAGATGTAGCACTTCTTCTTCCACTATCTGCCTTTATTTTGGATGTTGAATTGGTTGTCACCATCATTCTGGTTCTTTCCTTGAAAGCGAAGGTTTTTGTAGCGTCTTTCAAGATAGTGATGCTCCAAAGAAGTTGCTTGGGATCTCTCAATAACTAACTATGATCCAAGAGCATGGTTTATAATGGTTGAACGTAGGTTTGCCATCAGTTCTCTGGGGTCACCCGCCGGCTTATTGATGGCAGGTTCGAGTATGGTGGAGTGTCTACAAGCGCGCAAAAGCTTGTAACTGTCACAGGCTCATACCTGATTATCATTAGGCTGCTGCCTAACAAATAAGGCTTGAACTCTTCCAACCATATTAAACATCATACATGTCATGAACCCCTCCACGACTCATTAGACCCAAGTATAGGCCTTGGCCCAGTTCATGCAAATCTATTCTTAAATGTCAAATTTAGATTGCAGACAGGACGACTCGAACACCAGTCGTGAGTCATCTAAGCCACATGCATCATAACTATTTTAATAACTAAAATTACTAACATTAAAATGAAGCTGAATTAAAATAGACGGAGATGCTGGTGTTTGTCGGAGGACAGGTCATGATCTATTTTGAGAATGGTATGAAATGAGGGAACGAGATCATAGTCTTGTAAATAAATAGAAGACTTTCAGTCACGTCTCTGCTCGTTGCTTTAAGATTTTCATTTGTATCTAGCTCTGAGTTCAGTTTGAATAAAACGCCACTTTAAGACCGTCACAGTAACGGAGCTTGTTGTTGCCTTCATATAAAATACTCATTGCCCTCTAGCAGGTACTTAGCTCATCAAATAATATATCAAGGACGTCCCTCAGACCCTTATCAGGATTCTCATTCTTCAATCTGGCAAAAGTTAATGTTTGCCACTCTTGGAGGTAGATGTGAAGATTAGCATCTGTGTCAAAGTGCAATTTTATCTTGGTATAGGCTTTTTCAAACGAGTCTTGCCGGCTCTTGATGCAAGTGTAGTACAATAGTGCTCGGTCTTCAAGCATTTGATCAAAGACTACATGAAACTTAGATGGACGGATCTCGAGCAATTCACATGCTCTTAGAAATTGGTGTACCTTATCATCAAATACGTCATACATCAAGCCATGAAATTTGTTCTTCTTATTCCACTGCTTAGCAATGTTTGTAATTTTGTATGGCTCTAGCTTCTCGTTTGGGACAGATTGGGGAGGAAGGTCAGCGTAAAGGTCATGTTGAAAGGTTTAGATGACTATTGGTTGTTTGTAGCGGGGTATAGAAGGGTGGATTGAGCTATTATGAGATCGTCAAAGTCTTTGTTGCGGCTCAGGATGCCGTCCTTCATGAGATGGTAAATAGCTTGGCTCCCGCTGTTCATATTCCTCATTATGAGTTGCTGGATTGAGATACAAAACTTGTAGGAGGCCGAGTGACATATCTGTTAGTGTGCGCTGTTGATTGACGTAAACTTTTTCAAGAAAATTCATTGCCTGCAGTAGCTGTGCAGTTAGTATTATCTGAGTTTGCATGGACTGAGTGTTACTATTGTCGAGCAGTCATAAGCTTCTTCTGGTTGAAGCGTGATCTTGATACCAGGTCAATTGCCAAGAGGTCGTTGTCATTGCAATTAGGTAGTGTTTCAAATTGAAGAATAGAAGAGAGCTGGCGTGCTGTCAGGATTGCCTTCTGTATAATCTATATATGTGGAGATAACCAGAATCTAGTGTTCTATGATTCTGGTCTGGCCTTTTAGTCGAGCAGTTATGCACCTATCTCATGCTTAATGCAGGATGGCACCCATTAGCCTGAATACCACCTCTGAGACCCATGTCTCCTCATTGATGTCTACATGCTGCTTCTGACACGTGCAATTCCAGCTTTGATATTGTGTAAAGGGTTTTAAGAAGCCAGAAGTACTTGAAGTCAATAACTCAATGGAATGAATAATTTTTCCTTGGGGAAAGCTAAACTACTGTATCATATCCTGTCCTTTAGGTCTTCCGCATACGCTAGTATTAACTCCCCTCTTTAGCCACATTAGAAATAATCCTTTCTCCTAGCTATATTCCTTGGCCCCTGAAAATCACTCTTTCTCCCAACACAACTCTTCTCCTGTATTGTACTCCCCCATCTGGTACGTACCCCCTTAGCGCCCCCTTTCGTCTATCCAAGAGCGTTGCTCTGCCACTACCTAACCTTGGAGAGAGAGTTGTCCTAGTGACCAGTCCCCATCCGGGCAAAGCCCGTCACATATTGCCTGTATTGATGTGTTTTACTTAGTTATGGTATTGTATGATGACAAAGATGACAATTGTTTTCTAAGTCGTGTTAAAGACATAACTTCTATAAGTCAATATATTTGAGTTGTTATGTAAAATAAGGTACAAAATATCTAGAAGATGGTCGAGTAAAACTGGTTGTGATATGTGCTCCGTATCATCCCTTTTCCAATCATCCAGATCATGTCCATATATAACCATTTCCATACCCGTTCCTTGGTCATTTACCCATATTTCTACTAGACCTAGTCTCCATATACAGGTTTAGATCAAATCACACATGACACTAGAAAGTTACATATATCTCCTAAATTACAGTGTTCTTATGACTAGACGTCCTGTACGCGTTTCTTCCCTTGACAGTTGTATATTTGCGAGACACGCAACTAGTCACGACCTGACACAACATTACCCTGTAATAATTATTGACATGGAACCTCTTCGGCCGTCTCAGCGCAAGCATCAGGTATTCCTTGGGACCGAAACAGTAGCCTGAAATATACCTATACTTGCTTACGCTTGACTTGTTGTAGTGTAACCGAAACATAATGTCTCTACTTTGCAGCAGTAATCTGAAGATATGTTTCAAATCTCGGTGAACCTTGTCAAATATTTCAGTGCTCTTGCCGTTGAAATCTTCACAAAAAGAACCCAAAAGTTCATCATCGAAAATTTTGGATGTCTAGTAACTGATAGTTCACTCTACTGCGAACGTTGTGAGCTGTTTTACAGTTGTGCTTTTTGCTTCTGTGATTGGCTGGCCCCAGTACTGAGCGTCTATTACTCGAATCAGAATTTGGAGCTGTGATCCAAGCTCTTTTAGAACATGAAGTAAATTCTCCCTCGTTATGATATTGTATTCATCATCTTGTATGCTCCCTCGACTCTTCTGGAACTCATTGTTGCTCTTGGATTTTTCAGACGAGGATTCTACTCCAAGCTGTGGAATTTTTGGAACAATTTTAAAATCAAACTTGAGTTGCTGGTATTGCTGTGATATGGGAAAGTAAAATTGTGTTGCGTGGGAGTTTTTAAGTGCTGTGATCTTGTCTACACTCCAAATAGAGATCGAGATAGCACTTTGTTGTTCTGCATGGATGATGCTCTTTGTAGTTGATTGAATTATCTTCTTCTGAAGGCTGGAGACTCAATCTACTACTATAGTGTGTTAGCACAGCTCTTCAATGCTTAATAGCTGTCACGGACGAGGATGAAGACTAGGACGGAGACGAAGACGAGGACGAAGACGGAGACGGAGACGAAGACGAGGACGAAGACGGAGACGGAGACGAAGACGAGGACGAAGACGGAGACGGAGACGAAGACGAGGACGAAGACGAGGACGAGGACGAAGACGAAGACGAAGACGAGGACGAAGACGAGGACGAGGACGAAGACGAAGACGAAGACAGAGGCTGATAATGAGGACGAGATATTTAGATTAATAATTAGATTCTAAAACATGAGTAATTTACAAGACAAAAAGCTACAGTACACATCCAGTCCTTCTCAGGGATGAGGGTTTGACGGTGTTCCACGGGGTGCGTTGTATAGCCTAATGAAGATCTAGGTGGTAAGTGAAGATTATAAATGGGTCAAAGGGATGACAGGTCTTCTCTAGGAAGAGATGAATGGGCAACTTGTTGCAGTAGATGTTACACGTGGGTCTTGCTGATGAAGAACTGGGCAATGGATATATGGTCTTCCCGAAGAAGAGATGGGTGAACAAATGTATTGTAAAGGGTAAATAAAGAAGACGTTGCGTGAGGAGTAAATCTCTCTCACGCCGAACTATTATATACAAGAGTAGACGCCTTTGCCAACCGGAATTAATCGTAATCAATTCTTGCCAATATCTTCGCATTAATGGCTGTGTTCTTGTCCTTCTCTTCATGACTCTCTTGCATATCCTTACATGACTTTTTACACGACTAATTGTATAGGGGAAGCTATTATTAAATTGATGGTTTTAATTAACTACCCCTTCATCTTATCACGAATTAATATTAGTATTAAAATTCTATTTACGGATCCGTGAAAGTCCTAGAGCTTCCTTAAGTACACGAGCTTCAATACTATAACCAAGGGTGTAGTAGTTTACAGCCATAACACAGTAACTAACTAGTACTCTAAATGGCAACTATTGCTATCACAACACTGTAACCATTACAATACCTAAATTGTGTTATTGTATGCACGTCATAACTCGGTTGCCTGGGTGCGACACGACATCCCAGTGATGGTTTGTGACATGGCTCCAAGCTGGAGTGAGTAAGCAATGCCGAGTGTCTCTTTGTTGTTAAGCCTATCTATCCGTGTTTGTGTTGATAAAAATCACTGATCAGTGTTGGAACAACAGAGTGGTTTCACGATGAATTGCGATGACTGAATAAAGAATTGTAAGATTCTATGTTGTTCTAAATGTTCATAATGCCCTGTCTTCTACACTATATATTAAGGAAATAATGACCCCTCAGTTATTGAGGTTGTAGAGCGCTTTGATTCAAGTAACTGTCACAATATGGGATAAATGCTAGATCGACAATGTCAGATCTGGTGATTTAGATTGTCTACAAAGGAGAAAAGGAACTATTGCTGGACTCTGACAAGTTTATTTATTTATAATACTTAACGTCGTGCCCGCGACAGCACATGAGCTCCTCACGTGCCGGCTAGCTCGGTTTAAATAAAACTACCCGACGTGTTGGCGCCTGAACAAACCCAACAAAGCAAATGAAAGCCGGGATCTCATCCTGCACTTGAAGATTAAATTATACATGGTTACCGGTCTCCCTTCAACTCTCATGTATTCAGATGGTATTGAATGAAGAATAGATTAAATAAACAATATGGAGGGGGGAACTTAGTTGAATCACATGATTCCCTTTCGGTCAGACTTGTTGTGCTTTTCCAAAGAAATTTGTGACACGCACCCAGCTATTAAATGCGTGAACTCCCTCCGCGGAAGTGAGAGCCCAAGATACGCTGGGACTAGGATCCTGTGCTCTGTGGAGCTGTGCCTAGTATTGTCCGAGGTGGCAATAGAAAAAGTGGTTGGGGGACTTTTCTTCTCCACATGAGCAGGCTAGAATGGCGTTTTCGTGCTGAAACCGTCGGTGGTAGTCTGCGAAATTGCCATGTCCAGACCGTGCAGCTAATAGATATCCTAGTGTGCATCGCCCTAGATAGGCGAGATCGGCAGTAATCTTGGTATTAGGACCAATTCCTGATTCTTTATATCTAGATGGAGAATTTTCTGCCCAGTAAAGTGCAACAGAAGCCTCGTACTGGGCTTTGACTTCCCTTCTTGCCCTTGCAATAGAGAACAACGAGTGTAGAGCTGGAGCCGCACAAGCGGCTTTGACAAGCGCTTCGGCTGCTTCTTTTCCCAGAATACCTGCATGGCCCGGGCACCATCGGATGGCCACTTCCCCAGGCGTTGTGTTTTGGCCACGTGACCTTATTTTCCAGATTGCTGCAAGCTTGCGAGAGAGAAAGATTTTCGCTGAGCTAGACGCTGTGGTAACATCAGAGAGAAGACGGAGGGCAGCCTCCTGGTTGTCAAGGCAAGCGGTGACGTTAGAGGCATAGAAAGCCAGTGGGTTGAGGAGTGCTGAAGTAAGGCCTTCCGTGGCCCCGGCAATTTCAGCATCATAGACCTCTGCCGAGTTTCCTAGAGGGAGTGATACTCGCACAATCTCCTGCGTAAGGCCTCAATAGATGACGTACCCCGCGCCTGCTAGGTCTGCTATGAGAGCTCCATCTGAAAATACGAATAAGTCTAGAATGAGTCGAGCAGCCTGCCACTGTTTGAAGGAATTTGATCCCGACAGTCTACCTAC